GTTAGACGGCGGCGCGGCGCTTACGCGCTTTGATATTTCGTCTTTATGCAGTTAAAGCAGTACAATTGCTTTGAAAAAAAGTTTTGATCTTCCAAAATATGTCAAAATAAAGAAAAAAAAAATGTTTTCAAAAAAAATAATTTTTTGTCCAATTTATAGTTTCTCAAAAATCTTATTTTTTCGAAGTAAATTTTTTTCAAAAATGTTAATTGTTTTTAAAAAAATAATAATTTTTGGTACGGGAAGTTCCAGCAATATGCCTCAAGGCACGATGCCTTAATTGCCTTAAGACAGAATTCCACTCAACTGCAGTACTATTTTGTAAAATTCATATAGAATTATTTTTGATTTAAACAATTTAAGCACCTGAATGAAAAAGTACATTTAATTTTATCAGCATTGTCATTTATTTATAACAATACAGTACATTTTAAATGAACTGTAAAATAGAAAAACGAAGTCACTGTTTACGAGTGACATTTCAAAATATATTCTATAGATGCAATTTCATTGGCGGCAATGTACGAGAAATATGTCAAAGTAAATAATAGCAATAAACAAATTACCTATATTATGGTGAATTAATCAGAAATAAGTGCACATACAAGTAATTCGATGCCTTTCAAAAAGGCATATACAAGTAATTCGATCATCAATAAAATAGAATAGTAGTTACAAACAATATGAACAAATTAATAGTGATTTACCTTAAGTTTTTCCTTATGACAGCCTACCAAAATTTGGTAATTATGTACAATGATGTCCCAGGTTCGCAACCACTTAAAAGCACATGGCAATTCAATTAAACGAAACTAAATAAAATAATTCGACCGAAAATTGTTCTTTGAGAGAGCGTTCCTCTCACGAGGACGCCGGCCGAACAACTGAACAACGTGCTCTGAATTTACTATAAATTTTTATGTCGTACGATCAGTGTTGCCAGGTCCACCATAGAGAAAAACTGTAGATAGGCCAGAAAAAATTTGTAGAAAACTGTAGATTCATAGATTCAAATTGAAAAACTGTAAATCTGCAGCTTTATCATTAAATGATGGTAATATTATATAGTTATAATAGAATATTTATAGCATTTAACAAAATATAAAATTAGTGGTATTTTTGAAAAAAAAACGGGCAAGCTCTCCTCTAGCGGATTTTAAGTGAAACTTGGCGCCCAAAAATATGGCGGATGACACACTTATGAGTTGAATTTGCTGTCAACTAATATTTGTTTTGATGTAAAACGTGCATTTTTAGGTTAGACATTTGCTGTAATTCATATTTCTTACATATTCTGATCATTTATCTTTTATGATTTTACAATAACAGAGGTAAGAATAATGAAATTCAAAATATAAATTCTGTTTGCTACTACCAATATGCATACTATTTACAGTCAGGAAGGATATTTAATCAGAAAAATATGAAGAAATTATGAAACTTTTGAGTATCTTTACGTTTTGAAGTTACTTGTCACTTATCCACTTGACTTAACTTTGCAATTCACTTTACGTGATTTTCAAATAATGATATAAGAGTCTTCATTTTAATTCCGCTAGATTAAAACATTAGTAATAAAATTGCTAATACTTGATGCAATTTGCCTTGAGGAAAATGTTACTTAACCTAGTTTTTTTTACAGCTTCGTCCAATAACATTCCAAGATTTTGAGACTGCTTTGAAACGAGTTTGAGCTACTGTATCAGACACCAGCTTAGACCAATACTTGAAGTGGAATAATTTATACAGTTCTGGATAAATAATTCTGTCTGAAATCAAAAACACCAAACAAAAGGTTACATAATTCAATTTATAAATAAAAATAGTTGTTTATTAAATAATTTATTATTTCATTTTTGATATGCACATGTTCAATCGTAATCTTATAATAATAAATGATTTGAAAGGAATGGAATAAAGTTGCATAAAATACTATGTATATCACGAGATCTAATACTAAAATATTTGTTTAAAGGGTTCTGCACCCGTAATTAAATCCTATCATTATTTTATAATACCAGCAAGATACAAATATAAGGCTTAACTTAATATAAGCTTTCTTATTAAAAACTACAGTTGCTCCCTTTGTTTCGTTTATATTTAAATTTATATAGATAAGTCTCAAAGGCCTTGGGATTGTGATATCACAACATAAATATATATATATATATATATATATATATATATATATATATATATTAGGTCTTTTTGAATATTTGTGTGACATCACAATATATAATATGTTTTATATTCAATAATTATAAATACTTATATATATATAAAGTCTCTTCTATGATTTAGAATGCTTTAGACACCTTGCTTATTTTATTATTAAATTAATTGCTCTTTAAAGGCTTAGTTCCCATATAAAACTTTTAATTTAATTATTGCATTAGTATAAATTGATAAAGTTTATTGATCCTATATTTAGCTCTCGATTTAATTCAACTTGCCCTGATTTAATTATAAGTACACTTTTATATAAACATCTATTTTATTAATTATAATTATTTCAAAATTACTTATCAAGTTTAAACTTTAATAATACTAATAAACGCCAATGCATGATAAATGGCGATTAAGATAAGTACACTTTTTTGCTTAAGTCGTAAACAATATAAATATCAGTTGATTAGATTAGAAAATTTCATAAATTATTTACAAGAGCTTATAGATTAATTCTAAATATATACATAGTTATCGTATTTGAGCACATTTCAGTTTTGTGCAGGGTGAAATTAAAATTATTTACGTACATTCGCTTCTTGAAAAAGTAGTCTGATACATAATAAACATTTTTAATATAACATTAATAAAATAATTAAACAAATAATAATAACAACTTTAAATTGTGAGCATACCCTTTAGAAAATACAATTTAAATTTATTTATTTATAAATAATTTAATAAATTAATTGTTTCAAATCAAATGTATATTTTAATTAAACAAATTTAGACGATTTTTATAACATAATAATTTATTTAAAAAATGTATCGGCATTCCTATTACTAAACTACTAGTTTGAAAATAAAATTTTCATAATGAGTAAATAACTTAACCTGCCTCAAGATTAATTAACAAGATTACTAATAACATTAATCTGATTTTATTTATTAATTAAATATACAAACCTTGAATTATCAGTTATATATTATTAGTTATATTGAAAATGCTTTATCATGTTATCAAGACTACAAATTAATAGACACAATTCATAATTTTCCACACAATCATTCAAATATATCTATATATACAGACGAAGAAAATTATTTAACATAAAAATAATACTTCAATTAATTAATATTAATTTAAACTATGCTTTGAGTTAAGATTTATATTATAACAATTTGTGCACATTATTGTTGTTTAAAAAATTGTTGAGCATTATTAAAACCTTGCAAAGTGATTTTAAAGACGTGGACGTAAATATCACCAGACTGCTAAAAACATTTAAAACAATAATGTGAAATTAAAATAGGAAAACAAAGTTAATTTTATTTTTTAATTATTGATAGGTTTAATTACAAAGGTCTTGGATGGGTCTTGGTTTCATTCATAATATATAAAAATGTATCAAATCACTTTATCGCTTCACAATCACTAAATTGTATGTTTTCACTTTTTTTTTTTAAATAGATGCCAAATGGAACGTTTTTTGCAGTCTGGTATACTTTGTGCAAGCATCATAAAATAAACTATTATTTAAACGTAATATAAAATACAACAAACAATTTATAAAAATGAATAAATAAAATATTGCAAATATCAAATAAAAATGTGAACAACCAATATTTAACACATAAATAATTTTAGATAACTTTAATTTGTTCTCACAAAAAACAAAAATTAAAGCAGAACTGATAATTTGGTCTATAATAATAAAAATAGGTCTGTCGAACTTTCTTTTAGCAATTTGGCAATTTATATTTTGCATTTAGTATTTAAAATATTATATACAGTAATATTTCTTGGCATAAATAATTTTGGATTTAAATGATATAGTAAAAATTGCAAGTACCGAGTAAAAATCTGGTATTTGGGCCAAAAATTTAAATTGCCAGTTCAACATAAAATTATATATATATATTAGGATCATCCTTAACATGGACATTTTTGAATACTCTCAAGGGCTCAAATGGTTCTAAATTGATAAAAAACATTTCTCTGAAAGTTTTAGATCTTAATATTTTCTTTTAGATAGTATGCAATTCAATCAAAGTTTTGTATGGAAATGAAAAAAATTTCAAAAAATTTAAAAATGTTTTTAGATATAATTAATTTAGAGAACAAATGAGTTTTATTCAAAATTTGTCGCTAAGTTATACCTAACATTTTTTTATTTTTATTTTCAAAATTTTTTCCACGCTATTTCCATACGAAGTTTGATTGAATTGCGCATTATCTAAAAGTTAATATTAAGAGCTAAAACATTCAGAGAATTGTTTTTTATCAATTTGGAATCATTTGAGCCCTTGGGAGCAAGGAATTTTGAAAATGTCCACATTAAGGACCACCCTAATATATATATATAATATATATATATATATATATATATATACTAATAAATATTTCTATTCTACTTATCTTATTTCACCCGATCAAATCAACCGTTCCTCCGGAGGTGGTTTAAGTACATTATCCATTTCCAGCCTGGGATTGCAGTACTCTTGAGCACTTGGGCTGTAAGTGCCCCTGGTGGCCCTTTTACTCCTGGCCATAATTAACAGTGTGCCCAACAAGGCAGCTCCTAAACCTAATAGTACTGTTACGGTGGGCACCACTATTATAGCAATATCAGCACCACTGGGGCCTCCTAGGCTAACCTGGATAAATGATAATTGGATTTAGAATTAGGAAATTTAACATTTGATGTTAACTTATTCAAAATTTGAATTAGACTTAGAATATAAGCCAAAACGACTTTAGGTCTAATTACAATTATATTTTTTTCCTTACCTCTTCCGTGCAATTAACACCAGCAAATCCCTCGGCGCACGTGCACTCGTAAGACGGTCGATCCGTGCAGGTTTGCGTGCAGGTGCCCCCATTCCTGCACGGGTTCTCACCAGTTGTGCATGGATCTAAAAGGCGACATCCAGAACCACAGTATGGAGCCGTACAAACACACCTGGTACAAAAAAAAATTAGAATGGTGTCAACACTAATTGTGAGCAAAAGAAATAATTATTAGAATGGTCAATATCAACTGTGATTTTGTCACACGAGTAACAGAAATAATAATTAGAATTGTTAATACCAATGATGATTTTGTCTCATTAACTTTTTTATGATTTTTAGGATTCTGCATTAGTATGGCATCTCAAGATGTGTTAGCGATCTTTGTGGTTTAATATACGCTTTAAAATATATATACTGCATTCTTATCTGTAAAACTTTCTGGTAAATTTGGGTACTGTGGGTGACAAACAACTTGATAGGTTCCATCAAGATGTTTGCTTAATTGAGAAATGCTTTAAATTTAGCATCTAACAAAAGCCTTATATTTAAAAAATTCATAAGAATTCATTACATAATTAATGTCACACAAAAACCAGACATGCACCTTTATTCTTTTGGGTGACTAATTAGCTGACCACAACTATTCCAACTTTATTTACTTGGATGTAAATTGAATATATAAAAAAAAATTACCTGTATGATCCAGGAGTGTTATGACAGAAACCATCTTTACCACAAGAAACTTTTGTCAAAGCACATTCATCAATGTCTCGTTCACATAAGGGACCAGAATAACCTGGAAAGAATATTTAAATTTAGCAAACATATCTTATATAAAACTAAATAGTTGCTTAAAAATATTTGGGGTTATGTTAAATTATTTTTTTCAACCTTGTATATAGTGAATTGTAAACACTGGTTATAAATGTTACAGACTGAAGTTACGAATTTCATTGCATAATATTATTTATTAACAATTAAATCATTATGCATTAATTAAATTACTTCACTGTAACGTTTTTTCACTTTCCTGTCTAAATCTTTTACTGCTATGAAGTTTGCATCATAGCCAAGATTTGAATAGTGAAATATAAAAATATATTTATAGCAAAGTATTTAACAATTTAATTAATGCTTGATTCAATTTTTAACAATTTATTTTTTTAATTTGATTTAATTTAATACTGACATAATTTTCAACTATTAAAATAATGTTTTTACCGTTTTTCATTTTACTGTTTAAATCTTTTACTGCTATGAAGTTTGCATCATAGCCAAGATTTGAATAATGAATATAAAAAATATATTTATTGCAAAGTATTTAACACAGTTTTTAACAAATTCAACTTTTAATTTGATGTTATTGAATACTAACATCAATTTTTAACTATTAACTCGACTGTTTTACCTGTATTAGAGCAGTCGCATTCAAAAGCTGCAACCCTGTCAATGCATACGCCATGTATACAAGGTTGTTCGAGACATTCATCAATGTTATTTTCGCAATAATCGCCGTTGAAACCAGCTGGACATTCGCACATAGGATCCTAAATTATATATAAAACCAGATTATTAACTAATAAAATATATAATGTAATGAAATATAATATTAATAGTAATGGAAGGAGAGGTATATCAAAATTTTTTTCTGATCTTATAATAATTTTTTATATGTTAATACAGACTTAGTTAACCAGAACCCAATTCTTAGGTTTCACGGTTAATTTATTCATATCTCAAAGAAAACTCTGGTTCTTTAATGCAATAAAACAACAACTTTTTATTTTTATTTAGTTTATAAACTCTTACTTGATCGTGCATAACTCTGCAATACCCTCCATTCTTACACGGTTCCAATGCACAATAAGGTGTATCACACAAAGGACCTTGGAAGCCTCTTGCACACTCACACGTGAAATTATTTCCAGTAACCATATCTAAAAACAAATTAAACAGAATTTATTATAAACGTATTTTTATTATATTGTTATATATAACTTACTTCTGGTATTAATGCATGTGCTCCTGTTTCGACATGGTTCATTTGCACATGTTACCAATCTTAAGGCCTCACATTGTGGTCCTGCGTAGTCTGAGGGGCACTTGCAAGAATAACTTGCTATGAGATCTTCACATGTACCACCGTTTTTGCAAGGATTGGACTCACATTCATTTATTTCTTGCTCGCAGAAGACTCCTGAATAACCTGATAATAAAATTACAATTGGAAATGAGTTAACATTATAATTATAAAATGAGCATAAAAACTGTTACGTAAATATTATATATATTTCCTTACCAGGATCACATTCACATTTATATTCAGCAATTAGGTCAATGCATCTAGAATTGTTTTCGCATTTAGCATCCTCACATTCGTTGATGTCTGTGGAACAATCTTCACCATCAAAACCAGCAGCACATTTACAGTTGTAGTTGTCCAGAGGATCGATGCAGGTTCCTCCATTCTGGCAATCCTGTGGAGAACAAAAATTTAAATAAATACTTTAGTCATAGTATAGATCAGACCATTTATTATTACTCACATTCTTAAAGCACAGCTCACATCCATTCTTTGGTTTCGGGCTCATCAACTCATAATAATGCGTCAAGGTCCAGTTCTTCGGATACATTTCCAAAATTGGATAAAACGCAAGCAAAGTTTCTCCAATCCTGACTTCTCCAAGACAACCCTTAAACATTGCACCATTCTGGAATGAATCTCCATTTTTTCCATGGGTCAACAAACCGCTGGCTTCATAATAAGTCTTATTATCTCTGAAAGGCACTAAATTTTCATGCCGGGTATTTTTTTCAGTTTGGCTGGTGTAAGAGAGACCATCGAAAATTACATCTTCTTTTCCACCAAGATAGATCACAGTGTTTTTATCAAAGAGGTTGTTGAATGCTGATTGGTTTATTGTCATGGTTAGTGGGGCGCTGTCTATTTCCCATTCACCAAAACCTAGGGGAAAAAATTATATTTTATGATCTAATGACTTTTTATAAAATTCATAACAAATATGAATCTAGTCTAAAAAAAAGAGTGCGCGTAAGGATCACACGCGATTGAAGTAAAACTTATTTGCTACTGTATAAAGTAGCAAATTTAAGTTGAGTAAAAATAAATACATCATATAAAAATTTTGAATAATGTTTATTAGTAATATGGTAACACTCGTGATGCACACATTTATTAGTGTCGTCAATCATTATACACATTTATATAATGATAAATTATATTACAAATATGTATAATATTTACAAACAATAATGTAATCAAAGTCGTACTTGAAATATGACATGATCGTTTTAAAGTAATTGCTGATTAATAAATTCTATAATATTCATTCACACAGTGGATTATGTTAAACAACGCCTAAACAAATATCGTTTTTGCAAATTAACTCATCCTGTAACAATTGTGTTTGAAGAACTTCATGTAATTAAAATTAACATACATTCATTTACTGTTTGTATTTTTTTTACTTTTTCGCTGATGATATAATCTCATTCCTTGAACAGCTGTAATATCCGTCTTGCCTAACAAATTGAAGTTATACTTTTATATTTGTTTTATTTATCAAGCCCTGCACATAGCTTGATCTATGAATCATTTGCTTTTTTATGTGAACGTTAATGCAATGATCATCATCAATACTACGAGGTAATAAATTAACCATATTATTAATGTCAACAGGCACATTTATAATTTGGCCAAACATTCCAAATTGTCCATTTGCATGTCGCAATCGTCTAATTTGCATGAAACACAAACTAGGTGAATTTAACCTTTCAGATACAGTATTTAGTTTAGGTAGATAATTTGGTATAGGTGGAAATACAAACTCGTTAAATTTACACAAAGTGGGAATTTTACCCGAATTTAATATCTTTCGACAAGTTTGACATCCAACCTGATTATTTGAATCAATATTCAAAAAACATTATTAAGAATTTGTTTTTGAGCATCATTTGATATTTCTAAGCCACTTTGAAGCCAAAGTCGATCACACACAAAACATACATAGCCAAAGCTATCATTTCTTACGCAGCGCAGATTTTTCTTAGTTGCATTATTATTTGCGATCATTTGCACTACAATTATTTATGGGTGACGGGATAAAATATTCTTCCGATCCTGACATTTTTATTAACTCACGAATTATACTGCTCAAAGAAGTTTTACTTCAAAAAAATATTTTATGATCTAATGACTTTTTATAAAAATCGTAACAAGACTCTTGTGTATAAAAATATGTACCTGATTCTAAAACACCATCTCGTATTGTAATAACAATTTTGGACCAATCAAAGTCAGGCTCATCTTTTCTGAATCGTCCTGTGACATCAGGTTCATCTTGACTTACTCGGGATAGTATTGTTATCTACAAAACAGATAAAATTTTAATTTTATTTATTGACTTTCCAAGTCATTCTAAGCTGTTTTTTATTACCTGGTCCTTATGAGCAGCCACTTCGAAATACATATCATCATTCCTTATATGCATCAGGTGCCTCCAGCTCTGCTCCTATAATGAATCTCCATTCGTTCAGGTGCAACAGGTCCCTGTCCAGAACCATACTCCTCAATCTCTCTCGAAACCCCATTTGATGCAAGATCTTGAAGATTGGCATCTCTGAGATTTGTTCCATCGCCCAAATACTGATCTTTGTTGTCTATCAGTTTGTCTACTGATGCGAGTTGATTGATGATGGGATCTTTGCCTTCTTTCAAAGCACCTGGTCGGAATACCAAAGGCGCGTCCAGACCAGAGAATGTGGCATTGGAAAGACATTCATAGCCATCTTCCAAGTTGCGGCATCTGGATCCAGTTGGACAATCTTGGAGTTGGCAGAATTCGATGTCTTCGCAACGTTTGCCTTTGTAACCACGAGTGCATTCGCACCTGGTAATAGACAGATAAACAAGACGTTTGTTAATTGAATTATATAATACTTATTATTTATTTCTTTAACTTACTGGAAGTCGTTCCAAGTATTTGCGCAAGTAGCATTATGTTTGCAAGGAGAATGTCTGCATAAGTCGTCTGAAATAACACCAGCCAATACTGATTCAGGATGGAAAGACACCTGGCCAAATGGAGGTGGTACCACCAAATCAGGAACACGCAGGGGAAATAGTTCGACCACCATTGTATGAGAACCATTGCGGATCTAAAATTAAAAAAAGGTCAAAATAATTAAAGAAGTGCTATTTTAAAATGGTACTATTACAGTTTTACTTATTGTTAAAAGAATAATTCCTTTCACTATCTTGTTCAAATATATAAAATTAAACTAGTGGGGTGGGTGGAATCGTGCCTTAAGGCAAATTGCTGAAACTTCCCGTACCGTAACGAAATGTTCGAGGAATATTGAATGTTTTCAAATAGATTATTATCAATATTGTAACATTGTCTAATATTTATAAGAATTATATAAACTGAATTGCGGAGTTGAAATTATTTGTTTAAAGTATATTAGAACTATAGTCGGAATTAAAAATAAAATCTGAATTATTTTCGATATACAAAAAATTAAAAAAAAAAAAAAAATGGGACAAATATTTTTTTTCCAAAATCAATTATTTTGTTTAGATAAGCAGAAAGTTCTTTGAATCAATTGAATCGGACGCTTAGTTCTCTCAAAAACTGCCATTTTTTGTACATTTAGCTCCGTATCTTCGAAATGGCTGGGCCTGCCTTTGCAAAAAACTAACAACCACTTCTCCTAATCATTACTAATTGAATGTTTTTTAGATCATTCAAATCGGATGCTCCGTTCTCTCAAAAACTCGATTTCTATACTCTGCACTCTTTGCTCTTTATCTCTGTAACTGCTGGACCTGCCTTTGCCAAAAGCTAATCAGCACATCTCCTTATCAATAGAAATCAAATGTTTTTTGAACCATTCAAATCGGTTGATCCGTACGCCCGAAAACGTGGGCGAAAAATTGTATCCATACATACATACATACACACACACACACACATCCATTTTTTCTGAAGTATGCCAAAATGTTCAGAAACCTTCAAAACGTCGAGAAATGTAAATATTTTCAATTCCGATTTTCGGCCCATTACAATAACTTACACTACGGGAAGTTAATATGTACAAATATTTAAATTATATATTTACCTGAACATCCTGAATAATTCCTTTGAAATCAGTTTGTATATCAGGAGCTGCTTGTCGTTTAACTTTCACTTCTTCTTCAATTGACTGAGGTACTCCACCTAAATATAATACCTGAAAAATAGAATCATTATAGGATATAATTATATTTAGTTAAGAATTAATCTTTATCAAACACAATTTCATGAATTTTTTGAGACAAACTAAACTATCAAACAGTTTTTGGTAAGTAAAAACTATTAAGGGGGCAACTATTGATCATTTACCTGTGCATCCAAATGCCCAGTGGAAGAAATAGTCTTTCTGAAGTATTCACTGCCGTTCAATTTCACATGCACCAATGTTAAATTACGAACAACCTAGAAATAATAAAAATTTAGAACATGTACCAAAAAATGAAACCTAAATCAACTATAAATTATTTCTTTACCTCTATCAAATGGTTGTAACCATTATCCAGTTTATTTCCTCCGACAGTGTAGGATTCAGGAGTTCCATTAAATTGTATACTAACTTGCAACTCTCCACCTTTTAATTGAGCAGAAATGTAGGAGTGATCTGGAGCTGATATGGGTTCATCTGCTGATATTGGACTTCCAAGGTAAAATAACTAAAAAAAAGATAAAAAAATCTTGTTTTTAAATTCTTTTGAAATGGTGAACACATATAGTAATTTTTATTACCTGTCCTGAATCTTGTCGTGTCCTGATAAACATAGATATATCCACTACTGATCTCACAGCTCGTCTAGCAGTATCACTGACATTCACCACAACCAAACTGTTAGATGTGTTCTCGTTTCCAAAAGTAGCAGCAGTGAAATCTAGAAAAATATAAATAAAAATAATAAACTGTGTATTTCTCTCGTATTTTTATAGTGTACTTACTATATTGGCACTTTTGTCCCAGGTAAGGTCTTTCGCAAGTACATGAAAAGTTTCTCCACAAATCTGTGCAATGGCCACCTGAATAACAAGGATTGGGTTCACATTGTGGATCACGAGGACAACCCTCTGATACTTCGATTAAGGA